CTTCCAACGATACGACGACTCATTGTTCAAACGTTCGACGGAATTATCGGAATTAACGGTTGCACTTTTCGTTCACGAAATTGTTCGTACGCGTCGCGGCTCGACGTACGTAACGTAAAACGCGTGTAAAGGAAGGCTGCTCGATTCTCGGTAATAGCGGGATCGCACGGGATTCCCGGGAAACTTGGCGAATTAAAAGTGGCCTGCTACTATTAATTACGGGCGCGCAAATAATTAACGGAACAAGCGGGGAACAAGCGGGGAAATTTCGCGTTAAAGTCGGTTATTATTCGCGCTGGAACCCGTTAATACCGAGACGTTCTTCGGGGTTGATTAGATACCTGCCACGGAACCGGCAATCCATTCGGTTTATTCCAAGCGAATCGGAGACACGACGTTTCGCCGAGAAGAAACTTTCAAAACTGCTGCTCCGTTAATTGCTTCCAACGATTCTGTATCGTCCAATTTCATTTTATTCGCGACATTCAACGATAAAATAAACAATTTCCTCGTGGCCGACTCGTCATCGGTCAAAATATAGTAGACGTATCCCACAATCTTGAACGACGAGTCAAAGATTCACGGAAACATTAGTGAAAAAAACATGGCATCCAGTAGGAAAATGGCGGCGCACGGGAGGAGCGGTTGCGCAAACATTGCGATTTCTTTATTGACTGGTTACGTAAGGAATCCGCGGTGATACGATACGATGCGATACGCATATTTATACGTTGTCCCTTGTTCGGTTAACGCGACCGCCCGGAATGCATTTCCCGCCTCGAGAGATTGTCGCGAGGCTGTCGCGAGGCTGTCGCGAGGCTGTCGCGCCTCGCCGAATATTTCATCGTCCGTTGGAATCCCCGGCCGGCTTAAAACTTTCGACCCTCGTTTTCATCGGGATTAAGGGGCGCGCGATTGGAAAATGCGACTCGGCGTAAACGCACTTTAAACGATTTATCGCAACTGCGAGTGGAAAGTTCCCTCCATTTCCAGGTTCTCTCGTTAATTCATTTCAAAGAGTTTTGTCCATATCTCATCGGGAAATGTCCAACGTTTCCAGTGCAAACGGCTAATTAACCGTTAACCCTTTCAGAACGAACGTCGTCACACTCGACAGTCGCAAACGAATAATTTCAACGTTTAAATAACCAAATAAAGAGATAAACATCGGCACACGCTTTTCTTCTTTTCTATTATTTCGCTCTCCGATGTATAATGCACAGCTTTCGATACTCTAGAAAATGATCGTCCGTAAGCAAGTAACATCCAACGAGATTCCCTGGCTGCAGAAACGCCCCGATCGCCGCAACACGAAATGTCGCCTTTTAAAAACATCAATGACGTCCACGTGAATCACACGCTAAACATTTGTTATCCCCGTCCGCCGGTGACAACGCGCTGACTCTTTACACGAGATGATCGCGCGACCCGTGCGCGCGGCCAGAGAGCTTTATCTTCGCCGCATAAATATTAATACAATTCTGATTTACAACGGGCCACGCAAATGAAGAGTAAACCTCGGTCTGTACACGGATTAACGGTCTGGCAACCGCGTAACCCCTCTCTTTCTCTCTCTCTCTCTCTCTTTTTCGAGCGAGCGAGCGAGCGAAAAACCATCGAGATAGAAAAACCAAGAAATCTCGGGGAAATTATTCGTTTAACGGAACCCGCTAATGCCTTTTCAAGTTATCGATACACGCTCAACTTTACGCAAATAGAAATCGTTTATTAATTCCAGCGAATTGCGCTCGACAGAAGCGGGACGCGATGGCCGGTCGTTCATTGTTCGCGCGCAATAATTAACTGAAATGAATTCAATTAATCCCCCCATCCTCGGGATCCGCGAATCGAGCAAGCTACCGGCTGTTGGAGTAAAGAGGGTCCCCGATAGTCGAAGGGTTTACGTTTTCGTTTGTCTCGGTAGGAGTGAAAGACGTTTGGGGAAAGAGGAAATTCGAAAATTTCCACCGACAAAAATCAACTACATTGGAGTATCAATATTAGATATCTAACGGTAATCCTATTAATCGTGTATCGGAATTTTCTTGCCGATGTTAACGGTACGGGAACAATGGTGACGGAATTGGATAAATTTCAAGCGATTACCAGACACAGAAACGAATTGTACGCTTCTCCAATCGATTCGTATTCGCGTTCATAGAAAATGTTCATTTTCAACATTCGAATACCGTTGCACTTGATGTAAACCCTTGAAACGTACGACCCTATTTTTTAACACCCTCTGTTCCCATCGACGTCGACGTTGTTTCAGAAAAATGGAAAATGGAAATGGATAAAAGAAAAAAAGGGGGAGCGGGGTTCATCCGGCGTAAAGCACGATCGATAAATTTCGTTCGGAAGGAGGAGCAGCACCGCTGTTGAAACTGGAGCAACCACCCCCGTTGGTGCTTGTCCCGTTTTCGGCAGCCCTTTTTCCCTTTTTCCCTTTTTCCCTTTTTCCCTTTTCCCCTTTCCCCCTTTTTCCCCCTTTTCCGAGCACCGACTCTCGTTTTCCTTGCTCGACATTCTTCTCGGACATCGACACGGGCCAATCGATCCGCAGAATTCTTTTTATTCGACACGGTGTATCTTTTACGTCTCTCCTATTGTTGCGTTTCAACCCCTCGCTGTACGATCTCGGATTTATTCGACTATCGGCAAGGAATTGAGACGCGAAGGTATATTCCGTTCGTTAACTCGATACAATTCAATTGCGACGAATTTAGCTGAACCTTGGCTAGAAGTATTTTCAAGAATGGAAATTCTAAAATGAGAAATACGTAACGTTGGAGCGATTTAGATTAACTCCGTTTCAAAGGTTCGGTTCCACTCGTTCGTTGCTCCCGTTCGGGAGCGAGCGAAGCAACGAGCGCGCGGAGAAGAGGGTAAAAACAATGAAACAGCAACAGCGAAGGGTTCGCGAGCGAGGCGAGGCGAGGCGAGGCGAGGCGAGCGCAACAATATCAAAACCGCAACTGCATTCTGCTAATAGAACAATCCTGCAACCGCGCCGCAACCGCTGCTCGCAAACGAAACAAAAGTGGAACCGCAACCGCGCCATCGACGATCCAGCAACATTGGATGCGCCGACCGCAATCGCGTTCGCTAATCCAACAAAATCCTGCTAATCCAACAATCCCGTGGCCGCAACCGCACTCGCAAATCTAATAAAACCGAGCGGCTGCGTGTTCGGTGCCGTCCGACAAGTGCGCACCGAGGTTTGCGTTACAACCGACCAATCTCCGTAATCGTTGCGCCAATTAATAATTCATCGTTAACAATAGTACGCCAACGACGATGACTAAACGAAACCTTCGATTCCCGAAACGTCCGTCGTTTCCGATCGTTCGATCCATCCGCTCGGGATAAATTACCCCGGCATTTCGATCCCGTAACAGCCGAAAAATTTCCGTGAAACCGGTTAGGCGGTAATTTATGGACCACCCGGTATACGCGCTTGCAGGCTGCGCTCGAGTTCAACGCGGACCTGTTTCGCCGAGATTTCGATTATACTAATCACCGGCGCGCGATTACGCTCGCAACTTTTCCTCCCGTAAGGTTCTCTTCGAGCCGACCTATAAACGGGGCCCCGCCGCTCCATCGCATCGAGATGGCCGAGCGACTACTCTACATCGAGCTCGGCCGTTTTACGAGCCGAATAAACCGTCAACCGTCGACCCGTTGGTACACGCTGCCGTCTGTATACAAACCAGCCGGAACCACGGGGGAAAAGCGCAGAGGAAAGAGGGAAAATAAGAAACCGGGCATACACGGGGGGCACACAGAGAGAAAATAAATTCAACGGCGTCCCGCGGGACCGGCCGCGCACCTAAGTGCATTCTCGTCAACAATTCTGACCTTGTTATTTACGACGGGGGCAGGGGGAGATTCACGAGCGTGCCTCGAATGGAGGCTGCCCTCAAAACCGGAGGGTCGACGAATGCAAACAAATCCTCGGGCATGAGTCACTAATCCCTTGGTACTGCGGTCGCGCGACCAATTTCGACCAATTTCGACCAATTTCGACCAATTTCGACCAATTCTATTTCCAAAAGAAAAACTCTCGACGTCGACTTTAATCGATGGGCCAAAGGTGCGCGGCTCGCGATTCTGCGGGAGCAACGAGCACGTACGCACCAGCTGGATCTACCGCTATTGCTTTCGGTTTACGTTCCGACGAACAAATTATTAACCTTTCGCCAACCAACCTTCAACGTTTCCCTGCTCGGAAGCCGAAATCTGGCAACAATATGGGCACGATTCGCCATCGTTCGACGGCTCGTACAATTACGAGAGACATCGGGTAAGAACGCTTCCCGAGGGGTATCGAGAGACCTTCCGAGAACCGACAATTAACGGGAAACCATGCTGCCATTATACTATATTGACCAAGCGTCGCCCTATCCGCCGTGCCACTCCTGGCCGTCCGTCCGGTAAACAAATTCACGGAATACCCGCGGTAAACAACAAAGGTGGGAACCGCGTCTAGCGTAGCACGGTGTCCTTCGGGATCGCAGTGTCCGAGACGACGCATCGATAGAACGGTAAGCCAACAACACCGACCGACCATCATTTTTTGGTACAAACGCGTACAGTACGACTCTCGTACCCCCAGCTGTCATGCCTGACGTCGAGATCCCTATCACAACACGCACCTTAAAATTCTGCCTATCCGTCCTAGGAAAGCGTACGCTGACAGCAAACATTCGCGATTCTCTAGATGCTCTCGAAATCGAGGATTCGCAAAGGTACGCCAACGGTATTTATTTCTCTTGTTCGCGTAGCAATGAAATCGCGCTGGGACATTCGGGTGCGCATCGGGAACGAGCAGCGCGATCCAGAGTTTGAAATATTGCTGGAACGCGCGCGTACGACGGCATATCCCGGATGAAATCCCGTTCCGGGAACTCGGCCCGGAGAGAGGAAAGGAAAACGGCGCCGAGGAGGCGATCGTGACAGGACAGAGAAAGATGAAAGGAAAGAGCAGCAGCAGCACTCACCTCGGTAGCGGCGTTGCATCCCGCGAGAATGACGGCCGTACTGATCAGAATCCAGTATATCCTCGGTTGCATTTTGTCCTCTCTGGTTGCCGTTGGGCCCATTCACGAGCCCCCTGCCTCGATCGACACCGCGCGCGCGTTCCCCGCTCGAGAAACCCAAACGAAAGAGGTACGCGTACACGTCCAAGGCAGGAACAAACCACCAAAAAAATCCACCGGAGCAACAACGCGACACACACCACACTGATCGATGAACCGCGAGACACTGAGGGCGCGTCGATCGGCCTACTCGCGTAGCCCCCACGCCGCCGCCATTTTGCAACGGATGCGCGCGCCTCTGCGCGGCAAATTCCCCAACTATTAGCTACCAGCGACACCGCGGGACATTTCAATTCTCTGCGCACAGACGTTCGACATCTTAAATTCGTTAACGTGCGATAATCTCTTATTCGTGACACGTCCGTTTAGAACGAATACAGATAAATACCCAATTGCAGGATTTTATTCTTTATCGCTAGCCGATAAATCTTTCTCGAGACCTTTCAGAAATCGGAGATTTTCCTCGATATTACGATTACATTCGTCCATTTTATTGCGCATTACTTTCACTTCGTCTTGCATGCACTTCACTTCTTCCCGCATTTTTTGTTTCAACAGTACCAGCAGTTCTTTATCCTGACAAGTATTATTCGTGAATACTTATTTTTCAACGTAGCCTCGCTTATTTCAAGCATTTACCTGTTTATAATAATGCTCAGCTTCGAATCCACCGTCGTCCGACTTTTTCTTCCCAGCAGAATCACTGTACGCGTTTCTTATGAACCTAAAACTATTTCTCAAACTGCACGCACCAATTCTATTTAATAAATTCACCTAACCATGAAAAATAATATCGATAATCGATACCGAATTATACGATACGATACCTGTTAGCGTTACGCATCGACGATCGTAAAATACATCGAGACATATTGCGTTCGATAAAGCGGGGAATCGTTAATTTTTCGCAGAAACACTCGTCTTAACACTGTTAAATCTGACAGAAATTTTGTCGCTTTCTATCGCGAATAGTAAAAGACAATTGAATACGGATACTGGCGGAGAGTAATCCAAGTAATCGATATTTATTGTATTAGTTCGCGTGCAACGTATAAATCAGGTATGGTACAGCAAACAACGAGAAATTCAAAGTCTTTTCTCATGTACTTAACGCGTATTACAAGTAACGTAGTTTTAGTTTATTAGACAATACTATAATTAAAAAGAAGAAAAAGATACAGACACGATGAAAAAGTACAAGCGATATAATAAAAGTAACAAGTATAATATTATTAATAGATAACTTCACACTTTATCCCAGAGGATACTGTAACAACCTAACCGGTTTACTGGTGGTTCATCTCTGTGATTCTCTTTTTGTGACGGTTTATGGCTTCTTCGTGGCGCTTGATCTGTTCTTCGTGGAAAGAGATCTCGTCGTGGAGACCTTCTTTCAGTTTCTGCATCTTGTCTTTATCCTAGGAGAAAAAAACCTTTCGTATAATACTCCTCGAAACACGATTGTCGCATCGGATTATTGTACCGACCATATTGTAGAAATACTGATCCTCGTGAGCGGATTCCATTTTACCAAAGGCACCGCCGGCTTCACGAATGGCACCACCACCGCCGCCACCTTTGCCAGCTCCAGAACCACGCTCTCCAACCATTCTCGCTTGGCTGTAACAATTGGGAGATCCGCTTGATTACTGACTCATAATTTTTGAGGTTGCCAAAGAAAACTTCGAGGTGGCAGTAGCAGTTAAAAATACAACGGCTAATTACATCATGGATGCATTTAGTGTCTGAACAAGTTGATGCAATAAAGTGCAACGTTAAGGTATGTGAAATGATATTGAAATGTTGTACTAATGGGATCTGCAAGTATTACATAATTTTGGTAGACCTACAGGGAGTTTGGCAAGCTGCTAAAATTCTCAAAATCCTCGAAATTCCCGGAGGTGTTCTACGATGGTTCGACAGTCGATCATTCGAAAACACGCGGCAGAGACGCAATTGTCTCTTCGACGAGAGAATCAGGGGGCAAGGTGTAAGTAGGTGCTATACGTTCGGGCGAACGTCGTGCAAGATAGTCGCGACAAAAGCCGGGGTCGAACGAAAAGACACATTAAGATAGTGACGCGTAGTATGTACGATTGGTCGTTAGAAACGCGAGAAAGGCACGATTTTATACCTGAGCGAAGCCATATTCCGTGTCATGGTTCTAACTGCGCGTTGCATTGTAGCCGTCTGAAAAATTCGTAAGCCCAACAAGTACTGTTCGATCAAATGGGCACCATACACTAATGGCGTTACACTACCGGAGCTCGTCGCATCGCCCTCTCCAGTAGAAGCTTCGCGAGATGACCGCGTTGGCGTTGTCATTCTCGCGGGAATATTAATTTCACCTTTCCTGAAAATACTTAAATTTTAACTCAATCTTATTCGTCTTCTACTAATTTTCAAGAGAAAATTATTTTATTGCTTTCAGTTATTTTATTGCTTTCGGCGAAAGAAAAACCGCTGCGTGCAGTGGAAAACTTTAGATCTTTACAGTCGAGCAAATGAAATTGCAAGACAATGAAATTATACAAATGTTATTAACAAGAGTAATTAACAAACATACTCAGCCTCCAACGAGTCGTGCAGAATACTTTCAACGGTCGTCTCCGATAGCTGCCGCACTTTCGACGCGAGATCACATTCTTTGGTTCCCCTCGGGCTCGCGGCTTGAATCTGGTGTACAATTCTTATAGTTAAATTTGGTACTATACATGGTATCGATAGATGTACTTTCTGTTGTAACAATTTAAACTATGCAAAGACATATCGATTCAGCGAATTGGTATCGAGAGTAGCTAGCGATAGATCGGCTGGAAATATTCAAAATCAACTGATTGCGTCACCTTTTTATTGAAGCTGCCATGCGGCGATCCAACTTGGTACTTTAATCGTCGCCACTGCTTTATAATTTGTGTAAGATTTTTATTTATCTTGAATTTATCCTTCATTTCCGAATGAATGCTTTGCCAGGCTTCGTTTTTCCACGCCAACGCAATCGCGTCTGTCCTTTTACTGTTAACCACGTGGACATGCTTTTCAACCAGCTGCAGTAAAGCCATTTTTTCTTTTCGACTCCAGTTTGGCGTTCTTAGCCTCGTCTTCGATGATCTTGGAGATTCTAAGAACGACTTCGATGTTGTTGGAGTGTTAAACGACATCTTCGACTATCAAAGCACCTACGTAATTCACCACCGGACGCGGATAGAGACTGCCACGATGCTCGGTCGCGCGCTTACAGTACTCGGGGAGGCCTCTCTTTCGGTTTGCGATCGTCAAATGTTATTTTACCATAGGCCCACCGTGCACCACCTTGTACGGTCAAGACGCCTCGAACAGTTTCCCGCCCGATTTTATTAGTTGTTTCGGGAACGCGTAACGCACGTTGCGCGACGCACCGCGGAATATTTGCACGATTCGGTTCTCTTCCGAATTGCTAACAGTTCATTCGAGAAGCATCCTTTTTCCCTAAACTGTTGTTCTTGTTACTTGCTTCGGATAGCAGAGAATACGCGAATAACAATAGGTGTCCCGATGTGGCGTACACTTTCGTTTGAAAAGAGTAGCCTCGAGTCGCCTTACTATCCGTAATGTCTACCTACAATCTACACTAATGCGACGATAATGCACGTTAGAAACTTTTCCCGATCGGTGATCACTGTAAAGGTTCCAGGGCAAATGTGCCAAGAGGTTGACCGTGGTCCTACGATCGGAAGAAGGTTTCGTCATCTTCCCCACTCCGTGGGCAGATCCTTCCAGAACACCCTTATCGCATCGCGGCTTGGACGACTTCGAGTGATCGGCAACGGGGCACGAGGATCTAAGCGACCGACAAAAGAAGGGTGCCGAAACGCCTAACCTTAACGTTCGTCACTCTTGGAATTGGTCGCACCTTTGGCGGCGATGACGGACATGGGTTCCCGGCATCGGCAAGATGCCTTAACACCCTTGAGAAGTAGGTCAAAGTCCGAGGATGCGATGACCCTGGCACGTGTGCCATCCTCGCGCACGGATCGACGCTAACGTGTAATTGGAATGTTAATGGTACAATTAGGCAAGTAGACGAGTAGAATTTCCATCGAACACTTTTGAATAGTTACCGTACAAGTAACCAACCAAACGAAGGTGACCTGAAACGAGGCTTGGGAATTTCATTGGCGCGACAGTTGCAAAACGGTGAGTGGAAAACAACCTGGTAAAGAATGTAAAATTTGAAATGGACGAGCATCCCGTTCGGGGCCGCGTGCACCTGAAAATCCGCAACGGAATGCGTCGAAGCGTTCTCTCTCCGCTGGTGCACCCGTGTAATCCTTCCAGTCGCGATCGCGTCCGTCGCGCCGCGGTCTCGTTGTGTAACGAGCAGCCATCGTTCCATATAAGACACACACCGTCGCCTCTTCCCTCGCAAAACCGCTCGCGATATGGTGTCGCGTTGTGGCGAACAACGTCTCGCGTCCGGTTACCATAAACTCGGTCGTCTTCGTCCGTCGATCCGTTCACCGATCGGAAAAGCAAATCGTTCGATTCGCCGGAGGATCTTCCATGAGAAATAACTTGGTCGAAATTACTGCACAGGTAACTATCGTTCCAAAGGGGAAGGTTGATCGACCCGGTTCCCTTTCGGAAGATCGACCGATCGTTAATGTTGACGTTGAACGGTTTCTTCTTCGGCAACACCGTTACGCAACGCTAATCGCGTGTGTATCGCGAAGCCGCAAGTAAGTACAGTATATAGCCAGCTATCAATGGGTGGCCCGCGAGGCTCATCGGGTATCAGTGCCGTCGAGAGATCGTTTCATTGAAAACTCATCGGCTTTCGTCGAACGAAACAAGAGGAAATCGATGCGATGTTTCGATGACTCGATCGAGTATTTCATTCTGGCTCCCCGCTGCTCCTCGGAATGATCTTCTTTCACACCCGAACAGTAAGTAAACGAACAATCTCGCTTTTCGGAAAATAGATTAATAATAATAATAAGTTGGAAAGTCTTCCTTCGATCTTCTCTCCTTCGAAGGTTGCGGTTTGACGCGTCGCGTGACAGGCCTCTATTTCTCCGATCCATCGATCCTCGTACGGTTGCACCCTGTAAATAAAGATTCTAGAGATATTAAAGCATCGTTCGAATTGTCGAGAATCGGTTAAGGACAAGGTAGAACGAAGATACACACGCACACACACACACACACACACTGATCTTTGACAGATTCGTCAGCTTGTATAAATAGCTAATTACCGTGCCACCCGGTCCAATATGGCGGCCAGCCGGACCTGTACTTTATGTAACCGGTGACCTACACCAGTCGCGCAGAGCAACGGTATTGGTGGAAGGGCTCCGATCGGCATCGCGAATAGAATTCTTGTGTAATTACGCCGATCAGAGGCATTCGTGTCCTTTAGTTGTCATCTGTCACCGTTTATCTTTTTCCTTTTCTCTTCCGTTTTCTCAAGGAGATTTCTAATAACTTTTCTGTTGTTTCAATTGACCGATTGCAGCGAACGTTTACAAGTATTTTCGAAATGTCGTACGATCGAGGATGGAAATGAAACACGGGGAATTATTTCAGATGACACAGAGGGCAGAGTACCCGCCGTTGCCGCAAACTTTGCCGAAAGATTTCTGTCTAACGTGGAAGAACATTTCGTACACGGTTCGAAAAACGAGCAATGGCGGTATACGAGCAATTTTCGGCCTGCAACCTACCGAATACGTTTCTTTGTTGCAAGGAGGTATAACGAATCTATCGATTCTTCCGAATCTTTCGAGCATTTCGAAAGAAATCATTAAGCGAAAAACTCTTTTCTGCTTTTAGTTAACGGTATAGTTCATTCGGGAATGTTGATGGCCATCTTGGGTCCAAGGTAATCTCCCTGGAAATATTGAAACTTCGATCGGTAAACGATTCAAACGAACTTTACATTTAAATCTGAATCTCGAAGAAGTAAGTTGTTCCATAGAACGAGAACCCATTAAGGACCATTTCGTTTCGTGCAACAGATACATTCGAATGGCTTCGGTGAGGTCGCTTTGTCCATAAGATTTGTCATAAGTTCGTAACGATCTTTACAAGAGAATCGAATCGCTTCGGTCCATAATGGGTTAAAGGGCTCCGAAAGCTCCGATCGGAACGTTCGCCAGAATTCTCCGCGGAAAAATCCGTCCGACGGTTATTCCGTCCAAGACTGATTGCAGATTGTTGCGCGAAAGTTGAAGAGTGGCGGGCGTGTTTTAATATTAAGGTCCCGGGGAAAACGGAGATAAAATTGGATCCTCGGCGTAAAGCCTCGGAAAAAATGACGAGCGCTCGGCATGCCGGGGTTGTTAATTGTTTCCCTGCCCCGCCGCCCCCCGACAACCGCCAACACAGAGACTGAAAGAACTTCTCGGTTTGCAGCGGCGCTGGGAAAACTACGTTGCTCGCGACGATCAGCCGGCGGGTCAAAGGTCCGTGCGTTCTTCGCCGATATTTTCCGAATAGTTTCAATACGTCGCGATCTTTTCCAACGAAAAACCAGACCTTTCCACTGAGAAATGCAATGTTTAATCGGCAGGCAGCGCGACGGGCGAGATACTGCTAAATGGAAAGCCCATAGACACCGGGCAAATGATAAGGATATCGGGGTTCGTCCCGCAAATGGATCTAGCGATCGAATCGCTGACCGTTCTGGAACACATGGAGTTCATGGTTCGTCTGAAATTAGAATCTTCCAACGTTAGGAACTTCCCGACGGGAATTCTAATAATTCTCGATATATTCGATCGTTATTTTCATCGCTTGTCGTTAAGGCCTGTATGAAGATGGACAGAAGGATCCGCTTCAACGTCCGGAAACAAAGGATCACCGCTGTCTTGGCAGAACTCGGCTTGGTCAAGTGCGTCGACTCGAGATTATCCGCTTTGTCAACCGGAGAAAGAAGGAGAGTGGCTCTAGCCGTCCAAGTAAGTCGAAAACCCATTGAAAATACCAACCACCAAGGTCGCGTTAAAAAATCATTTTTCCAGCTGCTCACCGAGCCGAACATTTTGTTCTGCGACGAGCCGACCACGGGGCTGGACAGTTACGGCGCGTTGACGGTGGTCAGAACGCTGAGGGAAGTCGCGGCAAGGGGGAAAATCGTGGTGTGCTCGGTGCACCAGCCGGCTTCCGGTCTGCTCGACATTTTCCACGAGGTTCTTCTCCTTTCCGGCGGAAGAGTCGCTTTCCAGGGGTCGTCGGTCGACGCCACTCAGTTTTTCGACAGGTCCGCGACTCGTTCTTGGTCGAAAGAATTCTATTTGATACGAGATCAGGTTGTTCCGGAAGTTACGTTCCTTTCACGCGAGTTAGTTTCCATCTATCGTGTACCGACCCAACGGAAAGTACCTCTCGAACAACCTACTACTAAAAATAACAATATTCTTAAGCGATACCTACGCGATTTCGAGGTGCCACGACGATTGAAACGAAACAAGTCGATTTGATTTTCAGTCTGAACCTTCGATGTCCACCAACTTTCAACAGCGCGGAGTTCTATGTCTCGCAGTTGTCTATAGTTCGAGGAAAGGAAGCGGAGAGTTATCGCAAAGTAAGAAGAAAGAAGACAACGGACAAGAAGACAAGAAAACAAATAAAAGTGAAGATATTGTTCTCAGGTGAACTGGATCTGTGATCAATACGAGGGATCGAAATATGGGCAAAGGGTGGCCAAGTTGATCGAGTACTCCTGCTCGAGCAGGTCGGATTCTAATCGATTGCCACCGATATTCTCCGAAGTCCCGGCTGGTCCCGTCGACTTTAAAAGAGCTCGAGCGCTCACGCAGCTGGAATGGCTCGTCTGGAGAACGTACGTCGACTACAAGAGAAGCTCTGCCTCGATTTTCTTGCGATTCCTCACTTACCTGGTGAGTGTACAACAAGTTTCTTTCTCATCGCGAACGCGTGCGTCTCGCATTTTAGTTTCCTTTTCCGATTACTTTGTAAATCCGCTAACGCGTGTACGTGTTTGTTGAAGTTCATAGGCTTGCTGATATCCTCCCCGTACGTGGGAATCACGGGAAAACCGATGGACCAGGGCGGAATACAGAATATGCAGGGACTTTTGTACCTGGTGGTCGTGGAAACGGTGTTCACTTTTAACTACGCGGTGTTTTACACGTTTCCACGCGAATTGCCGCTCCTGCTGCGCGACATAGCAGCTGGACTTTATCATCCGGCGCCATATTACATCAGCAAAGTTGTCGTTCTGGTGAGAGGCACGATCGTCTCTGATCGATGGATCCTTAAACCAACGTGAATTACTTTCGAGATAATTATTACGAAAGAAATCACTCGAAAGATGAACATTTCCAGATACCCGGAGCGATAGTTCAACCACTGCTGTACTCGATATTGGTGTTCACTATCGTTGGACTGAACGGTGGATTCGTAGGATTGGTCTACTTCGCGCTGCCAGTAGTAGTCTGTGCGATTTCCGCGTCCGCTTTCGGTGAGGGCGCAAATACGACTGATAATATTTTAGGAAAATGTCCCCGCCACTTACGGATATAAACCGAGAGGTCAATGTTTCTAAGAATGTTAAAATACTTTGAACAGGTTTGTTCCTATCAGCGTCGTTCAAGTCGATAGACACTGCCTCCCTCTTCTCCGTGCCATTGGACTTTCTTGGCTTGATGTTCTGTGGAATCTATCTTCATCTAGGGTGAGAAGAACCGACCGCGTGGAGATCAGTCTCAGTATAGGGGGGAACCAGCGTATCATTTTAGCGAATAGTTTGAAGAAAAGTTGACGAGCAATTTCATCCGAATCACACACTTTTTTCCTTTCTAGCCACTTGGCGCCTGGCATTGGCTGGCTGAAATACGTGTCCCAGTTCTACTATGGCTTGGAGGCTGTTTCTTTGACTCAATGGCTGCTGATCGATCACATAAGTACCTATACATTCGTTCCATTCGATCGCGTTAACGAGAGAAGAAATTGCAAACAATTATTTTTCCGAAGATTGCTCTTCGGATCCTGAAGAGCCTTGCATATCCACCGGTCTCGGAGTCCTCGAGAAATACGGTTACCTGGCACACCACTATACCACGGATCTGATCGGTCTGCTGGCGATATTCATGTTCAGCCATTTTGCCGGTTTCCTGATCATTCGTCACAGAAGTCGCAAGGAAGCCGTTTATTGAAACGACACGTCGAATCGTGTCTTGGCAAATTAACGCAACAACTATATATCTCTTACTTGACGTTTGAATAAATTGCTATAATAATAATACTAAACTAGCCCCGCTCATTTTTCCATTGACATTCGATTTTAAACTGCACCATTTAATATCTCTCGAACGCTAATTAGAACCGTTTCGACTGTAAGGTTCGTAAGGGTCGTCGATACGAAAGAATCGAACAGTTCCAAAGGGACGCGAAGAACCTTAAAATTACAAAACAGTGGAACAGAAATCGAGAACAACAACGGGATCGCCTCGGCGTCAAGTGACACTGATTATTGCATTGCAATTTAATAATATATTGACTTTCAAGTGTAATTTACTATAAATTATATAGTAATATAGTTCCTTATGTATAATTACATTATCTGTGTATGTATATATATATATATATTAATAAGACGTATCTTATATACGTATAATATATTTATCTTTATATTTATATTTATATTTATATTTATATTTATATTTATATAATACCTATTGACAATTTCGAAGACACGTGGTTCAACGTGGCACCGCAAAAGCGTTAACGTTCGTGAACTTAAGAATTAGTTAAACACGTAACAACGTCGTTATGTTGAACGCTCGAGGAGCGGAAATGTTTGCGGCTCGTCGACGGTCGGCTGGGCCGCCGGATTGTCGAGTATAAAAGCGTTTCTTCTCCTGTCTGTCTGAATCACAGCCACCGACGAGTCGCGGGCGTCGCTCGGACGGATTCCGTTCGTTCGAGTCGCATAACCTAATGATTTCTTAGTGGTGACGTACTATCGATATTCAACTATCAATTTTCGTTCGCATCCGTTCGACTTTCTTCGTTTCGCGACAGCGTCCGTCGAGTAATATAGAAAACTGTCGATCGATGATGATCGATCTTCGTTAAAAATTCGGTTCAACGTACAAATGGAGTTGGCTCGGGGGCGAGGACTCGAAGTACAAAAGATTCTATTATAGGAAGATGAAGGGAAGGAACACGTCGCGTTTCGTCCTGGATCGACGAAACGAAATTCTATCGGCCGGGATCACGCAATGCTGGAATGTTACGTAGGAGCAAAGAGGATCTTTCACGATTCTTTCACGATTCTTCGAACCTCGGCCTTTCGGAAAGTTCTTCCGTCGACTGTGCCAGCCACTTTTCTCGTCGAATTCTATTATCCTATAGTTTCGCCGAGCAAGTCGGGAACTCGTGGGAGGAACTTGGGAGAATCGATGGCGGGGTGTGGACTAAGGGACAAGTACCGCGGGAAAAGCTGCGAGGAGTTAATAGGAACTAGAAAACATTATCGAAGCTAAACCTATCTAATTGCATCGTGGCCAATTAATTGTACAGACTCTCCGAGGAATAAAAAATCTCAACTATCGAGCAACGAGAACTGTCGGTGGGCGGTGCCAGAGGCAAACCCGCCCATCGGTCCTTCCCCCTTGCTCACGCGTGCGCGGTAGAAATTTCAACGACGCTCGGCATAGCTGCACTGGAAATCCTATACTACGCGATATTCGTCAACGTCGGAGACCCGATCTTTCAAGCTCTTGAATCGACTTCCTCGCGGCGTGTATGTACAAAAGGCCGGAGACAGACGAATCGACGGCGGCGGCGGTGGCGGTGGCGCGTTGTTCCCCTAAGAATACGATCGAGACGAGAGCCAATGGCCGCGACGAGGATGTCATGGCACCGACGGCAACGCGACAAAGGGACGACGATCACGGATCCTGCTGCTATCGGTGGCTTGCCGATTCGTCAGCAGGAGCAGGACTTCTTGGTGCTCGTCGGTGATTGGTTCAACGCGAAACGCTCGCCGTCGGTCTGGTACTGCGATCCGTTACCTTTCATCAGCTGGTCGTTCTGCAGTATCTGAAAAGAAAGGAATCGTGACAGACACAGGTGGTGTGCAATCGAGAGAATTATTCGTCGTCGTTAGAACTGACCTTGGTGACCAGGAATCTCGCTGCTTCCTCGATATTGATGTTCTCCTTGGCAGATGTTTCGAACCAGCCTGCAAAGTTCTTCTCCTTGCAATATTCGTCCATTTTCTGGGGCGAGTTGACCAACCCCTCTCTCTGCTGATCACATTTGTTGGCCAACAGGACACAGGGTATAGGCGAGCCGTCGGGTAGCTGCACCTTCGAGTCCAGGTCCTGTTTCCATTTCACCACCGCGTCGAGCGTAGCACTCCGCGTCACGTCGAACACTATGAACGCTCCGACTGCTTCTTTGTAGTACACTCTGGTCATGTTGCCGAACCTTTCTTGACCTGATCGAAACGAAACGAAACGAAACGAAACGAAATGAAATGTTTCTGGAAAAATCGGTTATCGTTGAAAATATAAAGGGGTAGTCGAATCTCGACTGACCTGCGATGTCCCATAGCTGCAGCCTGATGATGGTGTGCGGGTCCCAGTTCAAGACTTTTAACGCGAAATCGACGCCGATCGTCGCGCGGTAGTGCTGCGAGAAGAACTGGTGAACGTATCTTTTGATGATGGAGGTTTTGCCCGCGCCCAGCTCGCCGATCACCAGGATCTTGTACAAGTGCTCGCGTTTCTCGCCTACTCCGGCATTCGGCGCATTGTTCTGCGACGACTGCAACAAAAATAGATTATTCGTATACCTACGGTACCGGTACAACAACTACAAGTCGCAAATGAACCATCGGTTCTTCGTTTAAACCCAGCGTTAACTTCCAAATGTTAATTTTCCATCATTCAAGTTCCAAGGCGAATTTCAAGTTGGATTTATCGGAACGTTCGCCAAGCGGCAAGCTCGAAATCGCGGCGATTCCGCTTTTGAACGTTCCTCCAAGGAGCTGCTCCTTATCTTATCGCCCCGCCCCGGAGAGAAACAACGACGGCTGCCACTGTCGTTTGACGAAAGTACCGGGTAGTATAGTATCGATCACGCGAAAAAGTATAGCGAATCCACGGGACGACGCTTTTTCGATATTCGATCGCGTAACACTTTACATGGGCCTTTAACGCGGATCATCTTGAAAATCTACCCTGTATATACGATTAATCACTGTTTCCGGTACTCGAAGAATTACAACTTCGCGAGACGAATATTCCCCATTTTCGCTAGACTCCAGAGTTTCAACTTTCGCTTCACGATCGCGTACGCGTCGCAACCACGCGATCGTGACATTATCGAAATTGCCCGAGAAACCTCGAAGAAAAGGAAAATGAACGAACCCTGAACCACGTCCACTTTTTTCGGCAGACGAACACCTTGTCGAAATTCATTTCGAAGTTTTTCCAGAATTTTCTCTCGTTCTCCATTGTTTCGCGAAGAACGGACGAGAACGCGTGGATCAACGCAGATCCAACGATGCGCCGCGACTATCCAAGGTGTGTGTGTGTGTGTAGATCGTTGCGAACAACACGACGCGACGCGCACCACAGAAATGACTCAGACGGAGGAATCGGCAGAGAAAGCGAGCAAACAATTGTTAGGGGTACCATGCCCGCGTCACCACTTATCGCTCGGTGATTGGTCCAAGCGTCGACTACACGCGCGAACGTTCGGTGGCAAAGATACTTGGAAATACATACGATAAATGGAATAGAATAAATAGTATCTAGGAAAAGAAGTTTATTTTTATATTCCGTAAGATGCGTAGAAGAAAGTGAAATACGAAAGGAAGCAGAAAAATCAAATAAACAAAATTGCCAACTAATATACGTATACGCGTACACGTGTATACCAGTGGATGTATCTCTTCCGTTGAACAAGATCTCAATGTACTCGGGGTGTGTACCAAAGTTAGCCTCAAAATACAAAGAAGCGAAATGGAATAATCCATTCTAGAATGAATGGGAAGAACGGGGAA